ATTTGTAAGATTGATTACAGAGAACTGGAACACTACTTCACGATAACCCGGTGTTATGCGATCAATAGGGACATTGATGGTGACATGTCCGGGGAGTATGTGCCATTCTGCCAGATTGGCACAGCGCAACCTTCCGGCGACACGAAAGAAAACGAATAAAGGCCTCATTAACGAAAAAGTATTGCGAAGGAGGGTAGGAATATTCTAGAATTTTTATTTTTAAAATTTTGATCGAAGAGTGAATATTTCTCAGAAAAACAAAAAGACGACCATTTTGACGGAAAAGGACAAAAAAAACAGAACAACGACAAATATTGTGGAAAACGGTCGCACAAGAGACGAGAAACACGAAGCCTCTTATCGTGGCAACAACACACGATAAGACTCTTAGCAGTGGAAATTGGTGGAGAAGGAAGCTTCAGTGGGGAAGGAATATTCCACGGAACCCTCCCGTGCCACAAATTGGAAGAGATAAGGACGTAATGAAATCCCCCAGAGACTGTTTTATGTGAAGGGACTATTTATAACTGACTTTGTATCTACTTGGATGTCGTAGAAGTCTGAATTAACACCGGTATTATTTGATATTTTAGAATATGAGTAGCTAGAAAGAGGAAAGGGTCAATCCATCTCCAATGGATTTAATATAGAACTGTCACACAAAAACATATTAAAATAGGTTGTTCGAGCCGTGTTTTTAATGGCAATCACGTAGTCTGAGGATCCGAGACTCAGCTATGTGGTTGTGTTCGCATGTAAACGAAAGCTGATCAAAAGTCGTTTGACTGATGGCCTAAAAATAGTAAATTTTTACTTAGCCCTAAACAGACCAGAAAATCAACTGGCAAGGTCGAGACGGTGAAAAACGAGTAGAATTAAGGTAACTGACGCCTGCCAGTCGTTAAAAGGTACTTTTTCTACGCTTCGTCGCTGTGTAGTATTTGGGCGAATGTTACATTACTGACCACGAAATGTTGTCACACATTGAAATACCTAAGTCTTTTTGGGTCTTTGCGGTATCAACATTTGTATTAAATAGTGTAACTTCCATTTTCCCTTTGAGGTTTAACAAATTACATTTATCTTCAATCAGCGGCCTTTTATTTTCTTTGCACCATTTTTCAACATTTGCCGTGTCTTTTTGCAGATGAATTTCTTCAGTAGACAAGATCTTCATATCGTCACAATAGCCAAAACAATCCGAATTCTCAATGCATTTGGGAAAGTCGTTAATGAATATGATAAAAAGTAGAGGGCCAAGAAATGAGCCCTGTGGTACACCGCTAGTTACTTCTTTCAGAGTTGATGAACTTTTATTGATTTTCACAAATTGCATTCTATCTGTTAGATAGTCTTGTATTATGTCTTGTATTTGAATGCCCAGACCTATGTTCCGTAGTTTAGCGATTAGGATACTATGAGGTACTTTATCAAAGGCTTTAGAAAAATCTAGATAAAGGACCGATAGTGTTTGAACATTTTTGTCATCGTAGAGTTCATATACTTTGCTCAAAAATTGTACCATTTGTAGTACTGCTGATCTTTTTTGCCGGATGCCGTATTGTGCGTTTTCCAAGAAAGGTTGAACTTTGGGGTATATATTATCAAAAATAATTTTTTCGAAGACCTTCGAGGCGGAGCATAAAAGGCTAATTGGGCGGTAGCACTCAACTGACGCCTTGTTCTTTTCTTTAAAAATTGGGGCCACTTGACTTGTTTTCCAGTAGGTCGGGAAGAGCCGCTTGTTAATGAATGTGCGGAAGAGAAGATAGAGTGATTTTGACAGAATTTCAGAAAGGTTTTTTAGGATTATAATACCTATACCATCAAAACCTGACGCTTTATTTGTTAAAAGATTTTTGAGAATGTATTCGATTTTGGTTTCTTCAATGTGTATTTGTGTACAGATTTCTTCTGTAGGAGAACAGTTTGTATTTCGTGCGAGAGGGTTAAGATTTGATTCCTTTCGATATACACTGATGAAAAATTCATTAAAAAATGTAGCTTTCTGGGTGTCATCTCTTGTGGATTTTTCCTTGTAAAACATTTTTTGGGGATATTGCCTGGAACTATTTATTTTGTTCAAGTATTTTTGTAGGTCACTGAATCGTCTACTGCTTGTTACTGTTCCTTCGTAAATTGCTTGATCTTCAGTCAATGCTATTGGAAGATTTTTTTTCCAGTTTTTTGTGTTTTAGGATAAGGCTTAAATTAGGTTTGTTTTGCCGATCAATACGCCGTTTTAAGGTTTGTACTCTTTTTAGCATGTGAGACGTACTTGGCGTCACCCACGGGAGAGAGTTGATTTGTGTGATGTAACATTGGGTACATTTTTCTTTATTTTGTCCCATAACCATGCATACCACTGACGCAGGAGCTCATTTACATTACTGTAACAATACGGTTTGTCTTTTATTTCTTGATTTATTATCGTCCAATCGGCTCTGTTAAACGCCAGATTTCACCTTTGTTTATTTCTTTGATACTGGCTTCCATGTTAATTGTTGCAGAGTAAGCATAATGATCTGAGCATGAATATTTGTCAATGCTGTATGCGTTTGTTGCTGAATGGTCCGTGTGCCAGTTGAGTATCACTCCAGGGTTGTTGGTTAATAAAACATCAAGCTGCTTTTTTTGGAGTCGAATAATTGTTCATAGTCAAGTTCAATGAGCTTTTTTAACACTGCATTTTCATATTCGTCCTTTGAGTGCATCATTTTCCAATGAGTGTATTCAAAATTTATATCTCCCGTAATCGACACTGCGTTACAGTTGTGTTGTATTTGTAATTTTGTTAAGTTTTCGAACAAACTGATGAAGTTTTGTTGTTTCCATTGGTATTTACTGTTTTTCGGGGGATTATAAACACAGCAGAGAATTTGATGATGCCCAGTTTCACCTGTTAGTTTGGCCACTATGCATTCTTCATTTGCTATTTGAGCATCAATTTCTTCGTAATGCACATTTTCTTTTATCGCCATGAGTACGCCTCCGTGATTGGTTTTTAAAGTGGAATTTTTTCTATCTTTGCGAATTATATTAAAACCAGCAAAATGCAGAGCTTTATCTGGTATTTCCTCTACCAGCCATGTCTCTGTGAGACATAGTATATCGTAGTCTGTTAGAAAAAAGGCATTTGATAGAGCTATTCTTCTGTTGATGTCTAAAATACTTCTGACATTTAGGCATAACATTTCTAAATACTTAGCAGTAGGTAGTCAATTGCTTTCTTCTACTTTTTTCCAATTTCCACTTTTTTCGTCATATTGGTAAAGGACAAGGTCCCTTAGCCTTAGGCTTTTAGCTGATACGCCAATTTCTATCATTGTTCGTCTTTTCATAAGAAGTTTGTTCTCAATCAGAAATTCACTTGGGCTAAGCTCTTTTGACACAAAAAGAGTTTTGTCGTAGTTTTTCAATTTTGCCAAGGACATTAGTATCAGTCGTTTTTGCCATTCATTTGATACATTTACAACTTTTGTGCGTGGCCTTTTTCCTTCTTCATATTTTCATAAACGTTTTAAATCTGTGATTTTTGCTTCAACTGTTAAGAACGCAAACAGTTTGTTCACCTCTTCCAAGTCGGGTTCGTGTCTATCTCTTGAACTTTTTGAGTCCAGTTCAAGCAGTCCTCTTATCCGGATTCCGTTATAGCTTGATTCTGGTTTCTTTAAGGCAGGTTGCTTTGGCTCATTTCTGTTTTCTGGTTTTTTGTTTGCCTCGTCTATCTTTTGCTTAAGTGAATCTATCTCTTGTTTAAATGTAGAGAATTGTTCGGCGATTTCATTTAGTTTTGTTTCGGCAATGGATGGACGGGTTTGGATCAAATCGTTGATCATCGACTCTTTCCTTTTGTTTCCAACACAACAGTTACAGAGCAGGAGGACGTTCTGGCTGGTCTCCGAAATTCCAAGGATGGTAGTTTCAGATATTCCAGTGCATGTTTTTGTCATGTGCATAACATCGCAACAGGCAATGCAATTAAAGATTTGACTTTTGTTTGTGATCGGCTTTTTGCATGTTTTACAAGATTTCTCAGATGCTTGCGAGACGCTAGCATTTCTGCGTCTTTCTTCTGAGCCCATATTGCTCAAAAAATCTTCTCAGAACTGACACTACAAGGTATAAAACCTCAGGAGAAGACCAGACTAGAGAAGACTTATTGAGTTTTTTGATTCCCTTGGACTGATACTCCAAGGTATAAAAACCTCAGGAGAAACTAGTCTCAAGAAAATCAGACTCACCAGAACTAGTGCGATGAGGATTGGGCTGCTTGTTTTTTCTTTGCTGCTGCTCTCTTTGATTTGGTGGGCCGTACTCTGGATTTTGATCTTTGCTGAAGTACTAGTGAACGAAGGTTGTGACGTTTCGAAAGTACTTTGTTGAGCAACTTCAGCTCAAGAGACGGCGGGGGATGTAGTTTAGAGAGGGCAACAACTGTATCAATGTCGTTTTGTTTCTGTTTAGGAAGAAGTTGTTTTATCGCGTCGATGATGAGAGTATTCGTCTTCCGTAACTTTTCAAAAGTGTGAGGGGTAACGTCTCGACGAATGTATATGATCGCAGCTATTTGATGCTGAAACTTCGTGAAGATTTCAGTTAACTGCTCCGGGGAACACTTCGTATTAAAGTTTTTGGGATGTTTTGTGATACTATTGTTTATCACGTCGTGCCAGAGAATGATTTCTCTGGATTTTAGGGAACCGTTTCTAAGTAACCACTGCAATTTCTTGAGTTTACTCACGTTGTTTTGGTTGGGGCTTAGTCCCGATTTCGCAAAAGGGAATCTTCGATACTTTACCCTTAGATCGTAGGGTAGGTAGTCAAGGGTCCTTCTGAGTGAGCTTGCTCCAACTACAATCATGTGATCCACCAACCTGTGTCCACCCACTAGTGTCCACGCGCGGTAGCAGTGGTAAATGAATCCAGTCAAAGTCATTTGAAGTAATTGCAGGGGACCACCACGGCTGTCCCAATCTATCAACAATTTATCTGAAACTATTTAATAAGTTTCATTCTAGCTGTTGTTAGGAACACTACCTGTGTGCGCTCCTTTGTGTACCTAAGATGTAGTACACTCCAAGTACAAGAAGAAGGAGTTGAAGCAGTTTCTGAAATATCCCGGCCTTTAAACCGCTTAAATTGAGAAGTCAACTCTTCAGTTTAAAATGTTTACGCGTCTTTGGGTGCGGTACCAGAAATTTCATTCAAGTGATTGTTTACTTTAAAAAAAAAGGTAAATTATAAATGGGGCCCTTCCATTTAGGTACGGCCGTGCACAATCTGGATAGGGCCTATATCAGCATTATATAAAAACAACAATAAACATTATTTCAGGAATTAAATCAAGCCAGCATTTAATGCGTTGTCATTAAAGGTATTTACTTCAACCATACCTCCTCTCTAATAGCACTGATCAAACTTATAATAATGTAATCTAAAACTTGTCAGGATTACGTAATGGTGGATACTCACAAGTACCAAAATAATAAATCAGTCCCATTTGTAACAAAATAAAAAATCAATCGCGTTAGTACCAAAAATATTCAACTGGCCAAAGACTACTAAGCCGACTATTTTATGCTCTTTGTTTAAGGTAGCCGGTGGGCGCGTTACGCCGCTTCGCGGAGATAACCGGCTCTAATTTTTTTGTAGAGTCCTACCCTCTGTTGGCAAGCTCGCTACACATTGGCGCGACCGCGGCGGTCACAATTCTGTTGTTTAGTTTTCTTCTGTTTGAACAGTAGAAACCTAATGTAATAATTCGTTGGCTCACTATTTGAGTTGAAAAATTTTACAAATGGGATTTCACTTTCGTAGTGTCCTACGCAATTTAATTATTGCGAGGGACATAACGATTTTATCCTTGCGTAGTGCGCGTGAGGGGAGCGGCGTGGTTGTTCCCATCCTTAACGTAAGTGAATTCCATCCAGTGTCCCTTCTTGATTGCTAGGCCTTCAGACCTCTGATCCCTTCACTATCCTACTGGTCACATTTTCCAGTGATGTCTCTCAGTAGTTATTCAAGGTTCCAAAGCTATCTGAAAACCCTTTCAACGCCCCAACTTCGGGTACCGGCCAAATACTGCTATTTAGATCGAAACGATCAACCCTATTGAAAAACAGTATAAGTATACTAGCAATTAAAATGAAGGTCCGATCCATCAATTCTGAAAATCAAAGTCACTGTCCATTTTCTACTTTTTTTCTGGTTTTTCTTCTAATTGTTTTCCTTTTTTTTGTTTTGGTTTGAATTTTGTTTTTTTACCAGTTTTTCTGTTTCTCTAGTGCCCCCCCATACTCGGTTAGCTAAGCCTCGTATTCAAAATCGCACCAATAAAAGTTTCACAAGTTTCCCTAAAAAGCTATCACCGTACGACCAGAAGGTGGTCACGTTCAAGTTGAACTGTACCATCAGTACTCTAGAATGGGCATGTAGCCCGGAGCTGCGTCAAGTGGGTTCGATCCCGTAATCATGATTTCGTAAAATTCTCAGGATTGCCATGAAAACACTATGAAAGAGTCGTCCGCTTACGCCGCATTTGAGATTAACAGAAATAGAAGCTATAACCATTGGTTCGAGGGTCAAGGACACTACCTCTTGTGTTTTTGTACCTCATTCTATTGGAGCCATTTCGATTCGCTCAAGACATGGGACTACAAATGCGTGTTACAGCTCAAAACCACTACTAAAATACACTCTCACACTGGAATTAAGAGCGCCCCCATGGCTAGGTCTCTAAAAACCTATAACACGCGAACGTCGTTGAAAACTCTAAAAGGATACCAATAATTTTTTTTATTAATCAATGGTTTTTTGATCCAATTCAGATGGAACAACCTAAAATTCACCTCATTTTTACATTACTGTGTAAATTACACTCAAAAAATTAAATTCAAAACTCACATGATGACGCGACTCTAAAATTAGACGAATGATGTAATTAAAGCAATTCTGGACGTTTTAAGTCAAGTAGTTTTATTGTCTGGACCATTGAGTCGCTCCACTCGTCGACCTGCGCATTAAAGATTCTTCTTACTCCAGTAGTAACACTCTCGCAATAACTCTCGGCGCTTCTATCAGGAACCAGACAGCTCTACTCGAATTGATACTTAATATTATTAGACAAATTGCGAAGACAGCAATTTGTTTCCAGACTGATGATTTTTTGTCCACTTTCCGCGAATTATCTTTCGAGTCTTTTCATTTTATTGATTTGTTATTTCAATTGCTGCGATAACCTTGAGCATGACATGCTAATTCAAAATTTTCAAAAAACACTATTTCTCCCAAACTCGAGGTTATGCTTCAGATCACGACCGACTGGCACAGGACATATTCCCTTTGGATCTTTTTTGGGAATCAACAACCCAGGAAATCAAGATCAAACTTCATAATACGACCGACTGGCATAGGATTTATCTCTTTAGAACTTTTTTGGGTATAAGTAAACCAGGTATATCCCTCATTAGTGCAGTTTGTAGGGTCCAGCCATAGATTTCCCTAGATTTCTCTATACAAGGAAAATTATCCACAAATTGCGTTCGTCCAAATTTAATGCTATAATCGCTCTTCTGCCAAGCACCCTCAGCGCCCCTTTGTTTGCTGCTGACACCCGGATTCTGGAGTCTATCAGGTCATCTTTATCAAATCCCATCCGTGTCCTTGTTATGATTGGTATCACGCTCAAGATGGCTCCTGTATCTACTAACCCCTTCAAGGCGTCTGACTTCCATTTAGATCCAGTACATGAGTGGAGATACGTCCGCTCTCGGATCCAAATGCATGGCGTCCTCCTCAAGCATGGCGCAATGTCCATTTGATCTTACTTTGAGTTACTCTCGGCCCACAAAATCTGGCCCGCCAGGTCATCGTCACAAGTTATCATCATCTTTGTAAAAATGTTGGTTCCATTTATATTCAGCATGACCTCGTCGGGACCATTTGTTTCGGTGTACCTGCTGTCTTTCCTTATCGATTTCCCGTCGCCTCTTGTTAGTAGCGCTCTGAAAGCTTTCGACGGAGTTTGAGGACTAATAGCAGGAAATTAGTCCGAATATACGTCTATGTACATCAGTGTTTGGTCACTTGGTTCGCTCAGGTTCCTCATTACTTTGTGGCCAGCTACGGAGATTATCGACAATATCCTCGATCCAATTTTTGTGATCCCGATCGGCTTCCCGGTTTCCATCTTCAAAGTTTTGCAATTGCTCCTGATCTTGAGAGCGTCGCTTAGCTCAGGTTCGGTTCTTACTCCTGACAATGTTTCACCTTTTTGCAGTTTTTCTTTTTCCTGTATCAGCCTTTGTTCAATTTCTTTCGAAGCCAGATCTTGTTTCACTTTGTTTATAGCATCTGCTGCTGCTTTATAGTAATTTATCTCCAGCGTTCCTTTGGCTTCTATTCCTTTGATTTCTTTCTCTCGGTTACCGCTTTTACAGAATTTGACCACAGTTCAAACTTTATTTACGTCCTTGTTTTGAAAGTCGTTTTCTGCCTGTCTATTTCTGGTGTTCTCTACAGCTGCTAGCGCTAACTTGTGTTTCGTGTGATTCTTATTCTTCACGGCTTAACAAAACAGAGAAAACTTCATCCTGAAGTGATCTTCCTGGCCACAGAAGAAATATCTCGCGCCAATCTTGATTATCAAGCCACTGTAGATTTCACGCTCTTCCATCTGGTTCACGTCGTCACCAACTGTTGTTTAACCCAGGATTTTCATCCCTTGTTTGTAGGAAGTGCAATCCGCTACGTAATAATCTGCTGATCCCTCAATGGCGCACAATCTCTTGGCTTGTACCACGTCGATCTTTGCTGTTGGTTCCCCCTCGAAAATTTCGGCCCGCCGAAAATGAAAACTTTTTTGGTTTCATTAACATGTATTCTCTAGATTTCTGGCTCAATTGTTCTGGTGTCAGTGCATGGTCTTTCGATAGCGTATAATAGGTTGCCATCATTGTTCTCAAATCGTCACTTTTCCCGTCGTCGATGAACTTTGAAGCAAAACTGAGGTTTCTCCTGTTAGTTGACTCCTCCGTATCACTTCTTCTTCTCAAGCTCTCTAAATGATCCAGAATTGGATATATTGATTCGTCATCCTTTTGCCTCAACTTCTCAATTCTCATCATTGCTTGATCTCCCTTCATTCCAGAGCCGAAACGATTCAACAGTCTTTCGAAAATCTCGATGTGCAAGCTTGTCTCTCATCACTCAAGTTATCCTGCCCTAGATGCAGGCTCATTAACTCCACCCAGGTGTCTATGCAACCGTCCGAATCAATTTTAAATTCTTTGGTTTTCTTGGAGGTTTTCCTCGATTTGCCGCCTCCCCTTTCGCTTGACTCAGTCTTTCGTTTTTCGTTGCTGACTTCCCTGGTTCCAATCCTATGATAGTATGGATCTCCGGCAATGGAATGGATTCTTGTTTTTTACGATGTGCTTCTACAAAGTCCATCCTTGTTCCAGGTTGTTTTCCGGTTTTCTCTGCTGTCGCTTCATCCTGATTAATAGAATTTCTCAGGAGCGCATCCAATTTGGACTGTATGGCACAGGAGTTTTCTGCCTGATATCTGCTCATTGTATCCATTCTTGTCTCCAGACTCCATAGTTTGTCGCTTACGGTTTCGTACCGTTTTTTCTTCATTTCTTCTATGACTTTCTTGATGAACCTCTCCCGTTTCTTGTCAGTCTGATTTACTCTTACGGCCATCTGTAGTAACTTCTCCTCGGTTGCTATCGCCATGGTGAAGTAGTTATCAAGGTTCTTGTTTTTGTTATACCTGACCTCCCTTTTCAACTCTTCTCGGTCTTCTTCACTGCTCTTGAGTTTTTTGTCTATCTGCTCCAACTTTTGCTTCAAATGCCCCAACTCTACTGGCGGTACCTTCGATTCAGTTGCAGTCCCCACTGTAGGTCTCTATGTTCTGCCCGTGGATTCTTCTCCACCTTCACCGGCCTCCTTTCTTATGGCGGAAACTGTTACAAAGGTCTTGCTTTTGCCGATCCAAGTTATCA